CGGGGGGGGGGGGGGAGAATGGAATGCGCATTGTGGCCTTTCGATACCCTCTTTCGCGCGTCTGCCCATCGGTAATTTAAATCTGACGTTCACGCCGCGTAAGGCCTCGATATATCGCGGCGAACAGAGGGGTGCTTAGCCCGTCGACTTTGCGGGATCCCTGGCAAAAGCGGCGTGCTCTCGCGCAGGTCTGCTTATCCCCGGTGGAGGTTCGTAAATTTCGAAATTTTCAAACGGATACCACGGTTCTCGCCCTCTTCTTCTCGAGTGCGATGAAACGTTCGGCTTAATAAATGTTTATAAAACGAGGCGCATTCGGGGGCTGCCGGTGAAGTTTGCCGGCGCGTAGTGGAACTGCGGGCATTCAGCATTCACGGGACTGTTCATTACCGCCATCCTTCTTTTTCGCCGCGCTGGTCGCTTTATTTTTCAAACTTGAACGATTTATCACCGACGTGTCCTCCTTTAACTAAAAGCGCCGCGAAAATGGAACTTGTAAAAAATATAAAAGCCCGGCCGAAGTTTGCCCGTTAACGAAAGCGAGCCACGACGGTGGCTTGAAGCGAGAAATATCGTTACGCTCGCGCGTGTTCGCCTTTTACCTGTTCCTTGAACGTTGCCGTTTGAGAAATTGCCAGGGCCCTCGGAAAAATTGCGAAACCGACGTTTCCTCGCCGCTGCAGCATTTCTCTCGGCTAGATACCGTCCAGGGGAACGTTAATACCCTGTCGACTGTGTATCAGCGTACGCTCTAAAATTTATGATAAGCCCGCGTGAAACCATCGACGATAGCCTGCACTCCGAGCCGTATGAACTTTTCGAGGACGGAGACGGCTCGGTGCGCGGATATACGTCTGGCTGTAACGATCCGACGTGCCACGCGATTTTACAACGGCCGTAAAGCTCCGCGGCCATCCGCTGCTTCCGGTAGTTGCTCGATTACCGGCGTAAAATCGAAAGTAAAACCTGTTTGCCGGATGTCTGACCGCACGCGGAGTGCGCTACTTGCGGCGCGTCTGACCGTGCACGCACGTGGACTACTCGATCGCGCACGTATCCGTCCGAGATTCGTGGATAGCGTATTCCGTGGTGAAGCTTGCCTCGTTTCGTCGAGCAAATAGAACTAAACTCTTGAATCGAGTTTCCGTGTCTTCCTTCTTAGAAGCTAAATGTAGAAATTAAATCCATCTTCCAGTTAGGTTCTCTCAAATTCTTCGAATATTTTTCGATTCGAATGTGCTTGAATTTCGGTACAGTTTCATTCCAAGGTAATTCAGACGCTATTTCGATTCCACTGTGAAATAGACGTTTCCTATGGACCGTCTAGATTAAAATCAGCTAAACGAGCACACTCCGGCCCTCCACGCGAACCGTTTCATTTGCGAGAGAAACAAGTCCGCGAAAAACCGCGCTGAAGCGACTAATTTCGCAAGTGCTGTTTCCGACACGTCTGATCAAACACGCGGCCGCGCTACTTGCCCGAATCTTAACGCGCGCACACAAACGGCGGCTGAGAAGAATCTCGCTTTCAGAAAAGACGACCACTCGAACGATATATTCAAATATTTACCCTCCTCGGCTTCCGTAGCCGCCACTGTACATACATTTCGACGAAGCGACCGACGCCCCGCGTCGCGTCATTCTTTCTCCCTCGCTTCGCCACTGGCCTTGCATAGGCGTGGACGAACGAACGAACGAGCGCAGGGTGAAATTACGTCGCTCAGCGAAATACTATTAAGTGAGGTAGCGGAATAGAATGGGCCCCGTGGGTGATGGATGACCTTAATTTTGCTATGATTACCGGCGGCTCGGGAATTTGTATGAAAATCGCTCAGGGCTGGTTCTTTCACGATCCTGTACCGCCGTCTACTCCCCTTCAGCCCCTTTTTCCGGCACCGTTCTTCCCTCTTCCGCCTCGCGGTCCCCGTATTTTTTAATCGCCCTCCCGTTCCTCGTTAATTCAATATCGTCGACTCGAAAGGCGAACGACGCTGATGGACGCTTATGAAAGTCGCGTAATTTCGAGCACGAGGAATTTTCATTCCGTCAACGAACATTTTCTTTCCCCGTGCAACGTATACGCGAGCGAATTCGATTGGCTCGCGATCCTCGGCATGCGT